CTTTTTGTTCATCGGTCTTTGCGCTTTTTTGTTGTTATCGCTTTATTTTAGAGTAGTTCCATGAATTCCCGTCAAAAAAGGGTACCCCGAATTTATCGTAAACGGTGCCTTTAACCTAGATGGGGGCACTGACGTATTTACAAACCCGCAATGATAATCATTTAGCAGGAGTAGTATGCTAACACAAGACATTCGAAAAGAAATTGATCAGTGGTCAACAAGCTTTTCAATTCTTCCTCCCATTCCCAGCTTTTTCCACGAAGACAACATCTCACCCACCCAGCGCTCAGCACCTCCTGTCAAAAAACTATATGCCCCTGGGCAATAACATTACGAAGCACCACAACAGGCCCGCACAGGCGGCTCCTTCCTTCTCTGCCCTCTAGTGCTCAGGGTTTGAAAAGAGGGATGTCCCGTAACCACACTTCCACTCCGTACATACTTAAATATGAACGAATGATTGTCTCACCGACCGGTAAGGCTATGGCGTTTCTTCCAAAAGGGACTCTTCGAATCAAAAAGATACGTATGAAGACATTTCCAAAAAATAGATTTTACTCACTGGCATAGCGCCAAACAAATTTCGGGCGGCGAAATCGATGTCGAAATCGAGTTTACACTGAGTCCAATTAGTAAGAACCGAGTTATCCATGCGAACTTCCGATAGGATGCCCTGAAGAAAATTATTTGAACAAGACGAGGAGTTTTTAGACGATCTTATAGTACATAACAGATGGATAATAGATAAACAGGGTCTACCGTAGCTGGCTAGAAAGCACTCCTCCTTTCTGCTTCTTATTCAGCAAGCCCTGCTAACGAATGTGATAAAGCATACGCTTAGCGCTGACCAGATCGCTCCGCCCAGCACAGCGACATGCTGCGCTGAGCGGAGCGACCTGGTCAGTGGTGCTTCAGACATTCGAGATAGTGTTTGTACCCTCTTCCTTCCCGAGTTCTGATATAAGCATCGACTATTAGTAGGCAGGACAATTCTATCTGAACCTGTACATTCCGCACTGAGCACGGACCTTTTGCTCCTCCAAAGTTCTCACGTAGCTTTTATCAATGAGATATGTACGACTAAGAGGGTACCTTGTAATCATTGATGGTCTCGAAAGTCTGACGTCCTTGATTTTCGACGAATATTTGAAGAGTATTGCCCGGAATGCAACCCTTCAAATCCACAGTTCGTTTCGATTGACCATTGTAGGAATTTATGAATGTACCCTAAAACGAAGCGAGAATCAATATCATAGGCTAATTTGGAAAATATCGATTAAAAGAGTTTGTACAGATTTCTTGAGTTTAGAATGTTAACGATGCGAGCAGCTGCGAAGCGCCCAGCTAACCTTTGTGCATCCTATTTCGAATATTCGAATAATTGTGTTCATTGCTGACGATAGCCATCCAACACGTATTTCTGACCCCCTTTGTTCATCACTGTCAAAAATTGGCGATGTTTCTTTATATCAACGATTGCTTGATTTCAAAGACACCACTACGACCTGGCCGCTTTGCGGCCGCGCGCGTCTGTGTCCGCTGAACTACCACGACACGCAAAATAGTTTGATTTGAGCACTCACCCCACAAATTGTTCATTAAGAGACCTAACGATGATTTTGCACGTTTCAAATTTCTTTCGAACAATTTTCACTCACAAGATGGTTCTTGTTCATATACACGTATCCGAAGTCCTTGAGTAGTGTGATATTTAGTGAATAGCCACAAGATTCCATTTCCTGAAGACATGGGCCGGAACATAATGAGAAAGTGTAGTGGTAACGAGGACCACGGTCAAATACCTTACCCTAGTGTAGAGAACAAATCCAAACGGTTGGCCGATTTCCTCAAAAGACATAGGTTTTGAGCTAGTGATACAGTTCAGCCTGTTGGATAGCTGAGAAAGATCATCTACAGGCTCCATTTCTACAATGCCAAATGCCTTTTTCCTGAATGAACCGCAATGAAGTTCTGTTTGCGTTCGGGACCACCCAATCGGGACGACATAACTTACGGATTATTTGATGGCACGTCGAGGGGCGGAGTTGTCCAGTCAGGAATGCTCTTTATCCATGAACGTATCGCCAAATACTTGGGCGTTACATCACCAGCTTCAGAAATTGGAGCAAAGTAGTCGTACGATGTAATGCACTAAAAACAATAGAAGTTGCATATGATTGGTCAGGATACAGTTTAGCAAATTTCCAAAAATAGAAAGGAAGAAATTACTTTCGAATTACTACGAACTTGAAAATTAAGCTGCTGCATGACTTGGGATCATTATGAAAATGCCATCATGCTTTTGAAAAAACTACGTGTCTAGCTGAGCGTCTATTTCCGCATGCTAGAGGACTGCCTTAAAATTCGGATTACTACTTGCTCAAAAAGGGTTCTCAAAAGACCAAAAGCTGTCAGATTAGATCGAGGGTCTCAAGGTCCTAACTGATCCAAAAAAATCGTTTACTCTTAATACTTTATGATAATAGGGAATATATACAGAAAACCTGGTCGCAGTTCACCCACCGGAGCGTTCACTTCAGCTCCATTCCAAAATCCGAAGTTCGTTCCGCCATGAATCATATAGAAATTAATATTCGCTCCCAAACTATACATATCTAAACGGACAAGCCATGAATCAATCTCTTTATGTTGCCTAAATGAAACTTCTTTCGTAAATAACTCTTATTTCTGAAGAATATTGATGAAAATCCGTTCTCTGCCCCTCTTTGCCACTCGGTCATTTTGTTTTTTTTTTTTGTGATTGATACTGTATTTGTATTTTGTTGCCATTTTGCCCTCATAAACGTATTTTACGATAATGAAGCGCTCAGTGGAAATCAACTTGTTCGTAATGCATCATGCACAAGGCTCGGAACAAAAATCAGAGACACTCCTGTATTCGTAAGGCACCAAGAAAGGGTAAAGGTATAGAAACACAATTTGGCTGAAAGTCAGACTCGACAGATTCAATCAGAGAGTTCAGCGCTTCCACCACAGCAGATCTCCCCACACCCGTTGATTTCTAAGAGAACCCTATATCAACTCAAAAAAGGAAGTTTCAATCTAAGTAACGTAGAAGGGAAGAATCTCCTACTTCTACCGTCCCACCCAAATAACCTCCAATTACAGCCTAAGGGGTTTTAGAAAAACGATAAAGCAGATAAATAAAGTGAACATGTTGCCAACCAAGAATATTCTTTGAGAACTCACATTTTGCAGATTGCACAATGTCATTCGGAGAGGGTATGCTGGCGTCCTTCTGACCCCACAGTACCAACCATCCCGGATAGAATTCCGAGTTAACAAGAGGACCATGACCTCAAGAACGTCTTTAGTAAACAGAAAACTTTCGAAAGAGGTGATCGGGGAATTTTTTTNTTTTTTTCTGAGCTTTCACAGAGGATGTATTTGTTTATCTCATAATAGCTTGCTAGCGATAGCTTCTTGATTGAAAACACTCTTTAAGTACGAAAGAACTTGCTTAATGTGCCTATATCCCGTGAAGAAACCCGCCCACCCTGAAAACACGCCCCTCGCCGGGGGTACTGAAGAGACTCCTGCAAGGCAGAGTGTGGCCTGAAGATGTCCTTCAGATAGTAATTTTTGGGGAGCTGACGGACACTAATGGCCAACTGGTCCGTCACATTTAATGCCCTCGTGAGACTACTGACTACGTTGAGCAAAAGATAGTCTTACCATGCGGTAGGAACTTCCGTTGCAGGGCAAATGACTTGTTGATGTTCTCGTTCGAGCTAGTACCGAAATCTACTGTAGTGAGAGTTTGTGGAACTGATCCACACTTTACGAGCGACAGGGAATTACCATCAGCTGAAAAATAAGCAGAATAATTTGTCTCGCGAATACCATTCAGCACTTGCTAAAGAGCTGATGGCTGAAGAATGCGCCATGCTTTCAATTTCACTTCAGAAGAGCAGCTATTTAAATGCATATCTCAAATTTACAGAGAATTGCTGATGACAGCAGAAATTAATTTGACGACCACCAGAAGCAGTTTTTTTCTCACACTGTAACCCCAGAAAATGTCCTACTTGTATAAAGCACGGACTCCTCTCCCAGGTAGTGCCATAATCGATCTCGTAACCATCTCGTATATTTTCTGAATACCATAAATTACAGGCTGAAACTCTCGGCTACAATCAATCTCCACATTAGTAATTCAATAATAGAAGAGCAGATATTATATTATTTTTGACATGGGAACTAAACCCCAGACCTCGAGCTGCCGAAATTGTGTTTTTTCTGTTATCTGCAACCCCCCCCCCCCCCCNCTTCCGGGAGAAACTTGCTTTATCTTTAGCCAAGTACTATCTTGAGGGGAAGGGAGAGGGGGAAGTATATTTGGGGAGTATATTTTATATTTAATTATTCAAAGCAATTATTGAAAGTGTAACAGCATCACACTATCAATCATCGAACCTGTCACAAGCTTTATAGCTACCGTATTCGTTTTCAACTTGGAGCATCAGAATTGGGCCACCATTATGTCGCATCATAGGCTTGATTAACGGCAGAAGAACTGAGTACCACTTATCGACAGCTTCTTTGAATCTTAATGAAGATTTTACTTATTCAGTTACTATTCCGACCACCCGACTCAAATCGGGCTCTCCTCTTACAGCGACCCACATACATTGACACACCGACATGCTCAACGACACACACACCGACTCATACCACCTGCCGACACATTCCATACACACATATACCCACACAACGACATACAAACACACCGACAAACGGGTGTGGAGCAGTAGGAACGAAAAGCTCGCACGCGGCGAAAGCCACGTCGCACGCGGAGGAATGTCGCGAGTGCAGCAGCAAGCAAGAATACGGGACTAATAGAACTAACAGTAGAATCATGCCAATAGTAGTAATCGCATAGCGATTGAGCTGTATGAAGAACGCCAAAACTGTTACAACGAGGCAAATGGTCCGCGACAGCCGCGGGCGGCGGATCGATTATGGAAAACCGTTCCTACTGCCCGTCTCCCCCGACAAACCACACATACTTTGCGCGTGATATTCAGCGGTTTTCACTCATCTACCATATAGCAGTGGGAAGTATATTTCTAAAGCAGAAATCAAAATTTCCTCACAAGTTGTAGACCAAACATAATTCCTCATGAAATCAGGTTTGTACTCCATTAAGTCACACTATATGAAATCATTGACTATGTTACTGAAACCCCTTGAGATTTCTGCAAACATGTTCAATGGTGCAGCATGTCATGCTGCGTTTATACTCAGCCAACTTGCACCCGATGATGGCTGTCTTATGATGGTGAGGCATATAGGGGCTGGGCTGTAAGTGAGACAGGCTGGCAGTAAGTAACAGAAGAATGATCCATGGAAACGTCTTTGACAACCGCAACGTTCAACGCATCACTACGCGCACTTTCAAGAGCGGTCAGCTGCAAACTCGCTAAGCATGAACGCATACTCCAACTTATTGTTGCAAGCACACTTCACTGTATGCCTAACCTTCGCCTCTGTTACAAGCTTGACGACGAATTTCACCTTCCATGCAGACTGTTCCAATTTCGTATCAAATAACTGACTATGCCACTCACCCGCTTTCACTTGTTCTCATATCCTTGATGTTTTTGGTCAGCAACCACCATGGTAATCCACCATTCTCCCATTCCCCACATATGTATGGACCTTGAACAAGTAGAGCTTTTGGAGTTAGTTTCTAAACAAACAGAACTCACCCACTCTGACCAACGAGTACATCCCCAAATCGTAAGCGATACGAGAGAATTCGGTAAAATTACGTATTCCCGAGAAATTATACCTGTAATCGAATTTCGATTGTAGTAGTTTAGCAATGTTACAACTTAATCATCGCTCGCGACAATCTCAAGTAGCCCTCTTGCGCCTGGGGCTCCTGGAAGCTCTAACGTTTGATAAACAGTTCATGAGGTGACATTTTTTACCGAGAAAACTTTTTTGAACCAACTTTTCCTTGTAATGTCGCTTAACGAACCATTTTTAGTTTCTCGGAGGTATGAATGTGAGAGGAATGATAAAGGGAACTTGGAAGAGAAGCATTCCACTGTAGCCACCTCTGTAACAAAGTATGAAACCGGAGCTGGTAAGGATGACCATCAGGGGTCCCAACGTGCCGTGGACTAATTCTCGGCCAATAGCTGCGGTGGCAACTCCTGACCCACAGCCAGTAGTCCCCATAAGGTTCATATTTATTCTGAGGATCTATTTTGAGATACTCATTAATGTCAATCGCACACAAATTGTTACAAATATGTATGTGTATCCAGTACAATAGAGACAACGGCTCCCATGCAGTTGAGACTAAATAGAGGAGCAGTAAATCGAAAAAAATCAAGTTTTGATTGTAGCTACTACGGAGAATTTTCAAAAGTACAGTTGAAAAAGTTTGTGCTAATTTCTATGCATTCCTTTATTCAATTGCAGAGATGCATGTCGCACTCGAGTCTCCGTGCTAAGTATGTTCACCATAGATGAGTATTGATTTTACGCGCACCTAATTAAAATTGTATTTGATCATATACTCGCTTCCAGGACCTACCGAAGCTAAGAAACGAGCTTACTTCCTTTTCAGCTAGGTATTCGCCAACACCGGCACTGACAGAATATACCTTACTGTAACTCACTTTCCTTCGTAGATTTCATGAAAATTCCATGGAATATAGTATTGAATGGCATTGAAACCGAGGGCTCGTACTCTTTGGAGCCTGAAAATCGTTTGAACAAATTATAAGGAATTTTATAGGCTATTTATACATCAAAGCCTGGTCTGCTAGTCCTCGAACCAACTATGAGGGACTTTTGACAATATCTCTTTTGTGAGGAGGTCTTGGGAATTAGGGACCCCACTCAATACATCAATACAAATACATACACTTAGCGAGACCTGTCGCCCATGAACTGTACAGCAAATGAGCTGTAACCGTTCATGAGGACAAAAGGATCACAGAGAACATATTTTCATTACCAGTCATTATTCAAGGCTGACACGGTTGAGGCGATCTAATCCTTCGCGAATGAAAACGGAATAGGTGGCATGTCACATAACCGCACTGTTTGCGTTCATACTACCGAGGCCGACGCTAACGTCGTTAGTATGAACGCAGCCAAACGGATGCAACTCTCTGGGTGTGGAATGCAACATTAGATGATGTCCTGATCAGAGTACGTATCTCGCACCCCCACCTCACCTCCGTGGATGAGCTCCCCTCCAGTCATCGTTAATTGCAAGCACTTCTCTTGGTGTCATGAGCTGTCTGAACCGGATCCCATTAGTAGACAGACTATAATAGGTCTCTACGAAGAACCAAGAAGAGCCGCTGTCATTGAAATAATTCTTAGACGAAGTCTCAGACCAAATCCTACCCGAAGCACCATTTCTACAACTATCGGAAAGTGATAAACTCGTACCAGACTCATTTTAGAAGGTACCAACACTGAAATTACGGTGTAAAAGCCGCTGCTTGCGCATCAGAATCTTGACGATGAGATTTTGACAGATCAGAAGATGAGATCAAATGCAAGATTTGACTCAAAAAAAAAAAGAAATTTATGCCAAGCTATTGAATTCACCGGAATTGTTCTGCTTTTGAATGTTTTAACGCTAGGACAGGGGAACCCTCCGCTAATTCCCCCCCCCCCCCCCCCCCCCCCCCCCCCCACTCCCAAATCGGTGTTACGTTTGGTCTAGGCAAAGCTTGTGTTCTACTCTTTCTTTCACCTCTGTCATCCTAATTTCCGTCGACAGTGGCAGAATACAAATTACTTAGTGTCCGATAGAAAAACAACAGTGTCTAGATGGAAACCTCTAGTCAATAGACGGATTTCCTCAGACATATCGGGAAACGCAGGTTCACCTAGATAAGGAGAATACCAAGGTTGAATCAAAAGTCCATTCATGTTTGGCCTCAAATTTATATCAGTTCGCATTTTTAGGAAGTATTAAACGGAAAGTAATGGACGAAATGTGAGGTTAAATGAGAACCAAGGATCTACCCAAAATTATTTATTCATGGTGTAGGCCCGAAGTCCTAATAAGAGCTCGTATTTCACGAGCTCAATCGATTGTTCTGCTGAAAGGCAAAATTCGAAAAGCGCATCATGTCGGAAAACGACTGGGCGCTTGAGAATGGAGATGTCAGCTTTGCCCATGAGAGGCCACGTATTATGTCTGAGTAAGTCAAACACACTTTTAGAAAAGGAATTCGCCTCTACTGATTTGTACCCACTTGCGCAAACACATGCCGAACCGATGAAGTTCCTGAAGATGAAGTTTTAAGATTTCCGATTGATTTTTGACAATGTAGCACCCGATTGATGGAAATTCCAGCTGAGTTACCGCTGAATGATATCATCCAGTCACCTTGACCTTGCCACCTGTCTTGCTCAGTGGTTCTGCCTGAGTAGCCAGGGTATTTCTTAATGCTAGTACGTGAAAGCCACTGGCTGGCCTAATGGAATGGAAGAAGTGCTGAGAATGAAATGAACCCCATAATCGAACCACTCTTCAACTTCAGTCATAGAACTTGCATGGTAGCCGGTTTGAGGGAGATTCTACCAAGTCCAGAACAACCCCACCGTGTAACGACCCTCAGCAAAACCTTGACTACAACATATCAGAAACAATCGTAGGGGAGAGATGTCTGTTGACAACGTAGGTCTTTGAAAAAGAAATGAATCAGTTAAGTATTCGCGTAAGCAAATAGGAAAAGTAGGATGCTACCAGAGTGGTCACTCAGCAAGAAGTGTACTACCGTAAGGAGACACTACTTACCGTATTACCCTGACTTCGGGAAAAGAACGTTTCTCTCCGAATTTTTTCATACTTCACCTGTCTTTCCATTGACTAGGATGGATACGAAAATAATGAATTGATCCGGATATATAACGAAATGGCTTTCCATCTAATAGAAATTGATCATGTTCATAATCAACAGTAAAAGACGGGGCAGCACTGAAAACTCGATAGTACGTTCCAAGATTCGAATGTACTTTCAATAACTAACTCACCTAGCCTTTCTCGCCATGAACCGAGCAAATGACGGGCCATAAAGGTAAACAATTAAAACAACTGCATTCAGATACAGATACTTCATCTTGGGAACCCTTAAAAGTGAAATCATGCAAGCATACACAAAGGGAATCGATTTCAAGACATGCTGTATGATGGGTCAGCCGATCAGTGCGGGAGGGGTCGTGCATTTCACTTGCTAGCGCTATCAATCCTCATTTATCACCGCGTTCATCGGGCTCGCAGTAACCGAGCTCGACCTCTTGCACCCTTATCAACAAAGACTGATCAAACCGATGATAACCATAGGTATGTACAAATAATTCACAAATAACACTTCATTGACGAGACAAGATGTAGCTAAACAACCTCAAAGCATGATAAATAATCGAACGTTGCATTGTTGAACTTCAAATGCAAAGTTAGTGAGAACAAAAACTTATAACTTGATCTTACACTAGGAAAAAAGGAATGCCTGGCTCATAGCGACAACCCATTGATATTAATGCGTTTAAGTTGTGGTTGGTGGTGGAGCCGGAATAGAGCCAGTGTTCACCACACCCCTCTCTCTTTCATCCTCTTCTTGAGCTTGTCTCACCATCTCCATAATGGAAACATGTAGAATCTCCAGACGTTTGCGGCTTGCAATCGATTTCAACTTCTTGTAAAGCAATTTCGCTGAAAAGCGAACATAATTGCCTAGCTCGGTAGTTAGGTGCACACTAAAATATGCTCGTAAGACTTACCAAACAATTCGTTCTCATCACTATCCTCGTCATTAAACTTGATTCTCTTAGCATCCTTTGGAGGACCTTGGGGAGCAGGTGGCATTATGAACGGAGGAGGTGGAATACCCGGCATCTACAATGGGAAACGAAGTTACCTCGGATACATAAGTCAAGCGGTAGAAGTAGTAATTGTGACGGGGGCTATCGTATTTGTGATAGAGGTCTTGAAGAAAAATATACAAAATTTGAGGTTCTTTGTTTATGTTGTTATACGATACAACGCCTTTAGCTTCATCATTTTTCACGCCATGCCTTACCGGACTTTTATCATCCTTGTGGGACGTTCCTTTACTGAGCCTTAAGCGCCTTGGCCCATAGCAAGACAAAGGGCATCGAATTAGCCATGTAAATTATATATGAACCATATTTCCACATTTTATGCTTGAATTCATCTCAACGACACCACAAATGCATCACAAATAATAATAAATCTTCATGTCAAAAATATAAAATATTTCATATCAAGACAACTATAAGATAAAAGACACATTCAAAAGGCACAAAAATAAGGCAAAGAGAAAAAAAGAAAAAATAAATTAAACTAACCCCTGGTGGCGCGGGCATGAACGGGGGACCAACTGGTAGAGTTGGCTCTGCAGCTCTTTTCGCTCCAGGAAAGAATTTTTCTGAATAGTATCACAATGAAGATGTAATACTGATATTCACATCCTTGCCAATTTTACGAAATTCTGGGGAGTCACTGCTCAGAACTAGCTGATTAGTCCTCAGAAGAAACGAAAAGGACTTCCCCACAAGAACGGTTTCTACAGTGAGGCAACTACACCTTTTCTGAAGATTGGAAAAAGAAAATAGAAGCCTTTTTCACCCCTCGAAGGAACTGTACGCCTAACGCCTAACGACAAGAAAGTTGCAAAGACTACTGTTCTACTACATAAGTCAACCGCATAAGCCAGAAAAAAGGAAAAGGTAAGTGGATTAGGTAACGCCGTTAAAAGCAAGGGCCCTTTGAAGGCCAAAGTGTTCGCCATTCTTGTGGGAACAACATGTACGAATAATATCAAATTGGCATGAAGTTATATATTTGATACAATTTTTAAAAAATAATAAAAAAACAAACAAAAACAACTTATTCATCTCAAATAACCTGTAACATTTGCGATTATATCATCTGCCTGAGATTTTTTCTCTTTGTCGGGATCATCTCTCTATAAAATAACAAAAGAGTAAAGAAGCCTAAATAATGAAAAAAATTTAAAAAATGGAAACAAAAGCTGAAAAACAACGCTAGAAAGTTCAAAAACGAAAAAAGAAAACAGAAACGCTTCGATGCTGTTGACAAAAACAATCCTAACGTCACAAAGACATCGGGAGTTAAAATGAAACTAACCCATCTCTGCTCTACGTTGTTCATTGTGAAAAATCCGTACTTTTGCGGAGCAAAGAACATCTTTGGAGGCGGTTGTGGCGGCGGTGGACGCTTCATTTGAGCTCCACCATTATAGTATGGAACAGGAGCGGAGTGCTTAAAAGAAATCATTGCAAATTCTCCTCGAGTCTGCATTAAGCTTGCGATAGCCCCACCACTGTACTGCCGTCATCTTTCACTGCTCCGCCATTTCTTTGAACAGGAGACTGTTCCTGAAATAAAGCTTCGAATGTCTGCTTCCCAAGATGTTGAGGCATGAATAGCCTACGTTAAAAACTCGAACCTACACTACTAGCAAGAACTCGTGAACTGCTTATCCTATATTCAGTACTTATAGATTAAGGTGAAAAAAAAAGAACTAAGCCCACCTGTTTGGCTGTTGCATTCGACGGTGCTTCTGTCGCGGTCACGGCCGCTCCGCTTTCAACGTCCGTCATGAGCTTAAGGTGTGTTAGAGATTACGGTAATTAAAAGGCTTACATAAGAAAAAGCGAACAAAGCAATTACATAGCAAAGGAGGTAATAAGGTATACTATTGATGAGACATATTTCGGTATACGAATTTGCTATGAGGCGGTTTTATCGTAAAACAACACATTTTACACAACAACATAGCAACCTTGATCCAAAAAAGATCACAAAGTTCCTAAGTAAATCAACAAGCGGAAGACAAGTTAGCAATAATGACTTTTAGTCTTTCAGATCCAGTGGAGAAACATTCACAATATGACAACATCATAACATGAAAAAATTATGAGTACCACAAAATATTATGAACGAAGAGATATAAACGGGAGGAAGAATGACTGTTATTTCGGAAACTGCTGGCAACAAAAAGCAAATTTGGAGAGATCAGAAAGATCTGAAATTTCCCGATGACTGATTCGATTTCCCGCCATTTACAGCCGCATTTTGGTTGGATCCTCCACCTGAACTCGCTCATTAGAAAGATGAGATATTGGAATATTGACGAATGAGCTCACCTCCATTGGACGCTTCAGATTGCTGGGCTAGAGCTTCATGAATCATGTTCATTATGCGATTTTGGAGTCGATCAATGACAGCTTCATCTTTAATAGCTTCCATTTTTTTCCACACCATCTTTCCTTAAAAATTTTTAAATAATTATTTTGAAAGAATGAGCACCAATCATGTACACATTTACAACAAATGCAGCGATGACCAATGATCGTCAACCCAGCATTTTGACAAGTCGATCAAAACGTTTTTGCATTTCGAAGAATTGTGAAAAAGGGAACATGAAAAAAGAAGGGCTCTCGTGTCGTAGTCCGAACTTTTATCCATGACACTAACTTTGCATCGCAAATCACAGCGAAAACCAGACGTTAACGAAACAAGTTTCGCCCACGAAAAATCCCCTCTCCTTAGATTCAAAGGAGCAAAAAAATGTTTTCGTAGAAGCATTTCAGGCAATTTTCCTTCTATTTCAAACTATATCAGCGCTCAACAGCAAGAAGACATTCGCTGCAACTACTGCGAAATTCTCTATTCGTCCCGAACGAATGAAGTATGAATGTGTTCATTTAAACGATTTCTCTATGTACCTAGGACAATAAAAGCTTCCACTCATAGTACTAAAAACGCTACATACCGAACAATTCATGAATGCTGCTATTGGACCCAAATCCTGGCACTTCAGCTGCGTTCGATTTGTTTTCGTTGTTTGAATCCGTCTGATTATTCTGAACAATCGAGGTAATTACAACTTATTCGAGCAAATCATCTAACATTTACACTATGAGTAGCTGTGAGCACTGCCTGAGGAGATTCTGTGCCTGGTTTAAGTTCGACAAGAGAGCGACAACTATCCTATAGTCAATGACTCTTTACTCTCCCGTCAAAATGGCATCCTACATTCTGATACTCTCTCTACATATAAGATACTACTTCTCATGGAGCCGGAAACGCCGTCTTTCTAGGCTTGCAATTAGCCCCGTTATGGTGAGCTGCCACAGCAAGGACGTGATTTTATTTTCTGGTCATGTCGACGTCCCCACGTCAAGGATTGCAACCGAGACCAAGCACACCCAACTTTTGATGAGTGTTCGCCACCAGCTCAACCCCAAACATGACCTACATAAATGCTTTGCATAAATCCAAACCACTACCTAATTAATAGGGAAAAGGCATGTGTACCGCATAAAACATCAAAATAAAGCATTTAACTTCGAATAAGGCATATATCACGGGCGAAGAAGACTCAAACTGCAGGTAACGAGAAACAGTACTTTTGAATTTTGAAAAGGTAGAAGGAAGCATTACTACTTTCCTGATTTTCAAGTATTTCATGCTCGCATGAAAGGTGAAGAAATTACGGAACACCGAAGTGCGAGACAGCCAAAAACTCAGCATAAGCTTTTCTCTCCAGTTCTAGAATGTACCAGGTCGTAGAACACGTCAATATTCAGATCAACTCATTGAATAAGAACCTCATCTAGCTATGTAAGTTATCCAAGTTGAGCATCTTACTTCTAATAACTCCGCGAGGGATGCCACAGTAAGTGAAAACAAAACCCCTGATGAACAATTTTATAACCAAAATTGTTTTGCATCTTCTCTGAGTCTCCTAACAAAGACTCGGTCGGGGAAGTCTGGCGGAATATTCCATATTCCAGAGTTGAAGGCACGTAGCTTTTGCACGCCCTAATAAGCAGGAGTGGGCCTATGCATTCGAGGGATTTAAGCAGTTGCCGATTTGGCGTCCAGTCTCATCTCAAACTCCTCGCATTTCGCACGAGGGTATCCCACCCCCATTACTTCTCGTCGTCTTTGAATCTCGCTTTCAAGGACTGCGTTGACAGCCCGACAAGTTCTCATCTAATTTGTGACTACGAGGAGAAGTCAAGTGTTAAGTCAGCAGAGCAGATTGGCCATTTCTCGGCGCTAATGGAGTCGGACGGGTGCCGCCAGCTCCAATGGAATGGACTCCATTTGGCAGGAAGAACCACAGACTGTTTTAGGAAGCAGATTCGGAGTCATACCAACTTTTTCGCGAGTTATTACACTTTCGATGTTCCAATCCAAAAAGACGTCTCACTTGTTGAGGATTGGGTTTGTCGTGAAATTTCCTCATCAAAGAAAACGATGAAGGGATGTGTTTTCCTATTCAAGTGAGTTAGGAACCTCCTACGTTTTTTTCCCACACAGTCTCTCAGCTAGATGGAGTGGCATTACTGCATACGACAGAAATGACAATGGAGCTTCTGCTTGACAACCCGGCCGATTGACTAATTTTATTAGCGCTGTTTCGTTGCCGTCTTCTTGGGTTACCCATAATCACGATTCACTCGCAAACGGACTACTCTAATAAACCAATCTCCGGAAAATGGCCTTTCCACCTATTCCTAGTTTGTCTGATTGATTTTCCTTCGCCGCATTGTTTACTGGCCTCTGTATGGTCATTACTGGAATCACAAGAAATTTTATGATGTCTTTCCGCCTCTTGCATGCAGATATGAAAGTGGCATTGAATAAGCCTAGAGTATTAATAATAGTAGTATTAATAGTATTAAAACCCTTGCCTCGACGACAGATTGCAAGAAAACCTACTTGGGCAACTAATTAATAGCGAATCAAATTCTGGAAGATCCTGTAATTATGCAAGGCAGCGTATACTCGTAGATAACAAATCGAGAACGCGGGCCTTTCCACCTCAACTAGTCATAATAAACACGATTTCCTCCTAGACTTTTAGAGAATCCTTTTGTTTGATCTCAATACAACTCCGCTCTCGCCTTCTACGCGGCAGAGGCGTGCCATTCCCAGACTAAGTCCTTCCAAACATATCAGAAACGTGTAAAGTTTCATTGTGAATCGCACCCACTATCCCATCTCCTTTACCGCTTTCGAAAGCCTACATTTAGATCGTTAACCACTTCATTCTATTTATTCCTCATTGTAAATTTAATCCTCGAAACAAGGTAAAGTAACTATCACAGCACTATAACCTCACCGTTGCTCCTGTTGACGCTCCGACAGAACCTTTCCCCACTGTATTAGCTGAAGGAGTCATCTGTTGACCTAAACGCACAGAAGAATAAAGAAGATTATAAACCAAACAGGGGAAGCGTGATTACATGCAACCAAAATATCTGTAACATTTGAATGAGTGTGATCGAAAGACGAGCCAACAGGTACTTTTTCGGTAAATATTAGTAAACAAAAGAATCACATCCAGAATTGTTTTGCAAGACGAAAGATGTTTTTCAATTTTATGAATCGATTATTTGTGCTCCTGTTGGCTCAAATGAATCGGTTTGAACATCTAGGGGGAAATGAACTAGACCTGGCTGCATTGGACCTGTCCTAGCGTCGCCCATCTGGAAAAGTCGCAGAGTTAGTACGCATCTTCGTCTTGCTTCCTTTTATCTTCTTAGAGCAACTAGTGTGCTCGTAAACCAAACAAACTGCCGATCATCGATTTTCCGATGAAAATGATTTTAATGAAGAAATTCGCTCGTTTACAAGACGAGCAATCTTTCAAATCTGTGAGATCCATTACTTGAAAAAATGGTTGTATCACACAAATCCTGACTATGCACAGCAATGAGGTTGCACCCAAGAACAGCTGATTTCTTTCTCGTCCATCGAAAAAACCATAATTACAACAAAAAAATATCAGCAGAACTCTTTTTCAGCGACTATGATGAGAATACAAATTACCCCGCCGACTGAATAATCGAAAGACTGAGTTCTCTGGAAAGGCAAATTAGAGAACTCGTCTCCCAGCACCAAAGTTAGTGCTAGATATTCTTCTATCCGCCGTCGCAAAATGGCTTTTCTATTTTAATTCTCAAAAGTGGCGCTCCGCACGAACGAAGGAGTCTGCCTCGAAATTACATTCTAAAATCAGAATCACATTAAAAATCAGAATCAAAAAGCATGCACGAGCAAAAAGTTAAGTACTACTGTAAAAGCGTATATGTTTTGTTGTTCACTAATATGCTAGGTGCTAAGTTGTCCTACTATTACTTTACGATGATATGTACGAGGCGCTCGCAATTGATCAAAACAGAGCAAGTATTTTAAAATTTAGACTACTAGAGAAGTTGAGAGTTGCACTTTTGCAGTTGCATTATTCTAATAATTTTAAAAAGTAATTTCAGCAGTAACTGAACGTACCGGAGGAGGTGGAGGTGCAGGTTGTGGAGCATTGAAGAAACTGATGTTTGGGTCTGGTGCGTATCCCACTGGACCTCTATAAGGCATAGGGCCTCTACCATAACCCGCGCCCATCGGACCCATGCCATATGGAGCTGGTCTGCCGTATCCTTGACCCATCATACCCATAGCTCCGCCACGCATTGGACCCTGAAGTGGAAACGATCCGTTAATAACCTAGGGCGTTAAGGCATTTATTACAATACAACATATTTTGAACTTGAGTCCCACAACCTACTGAGAATTAGCGTTGTGAAATTTACTTTCACCGAAGAATACCTTCGAAGAGGTTTTGGTTCTGGCACTTCCAAAACATAGTGCTTACACGTTTGTTAATGAAGCCTATTTGATTCGGCGTTTGGGAATAATTGAGGCAACAGACATGTTCAGAGGGTATGATACAAGTGAAGCAGAGCTTCTTAACTTGGCTGATAAGTTGAACTACTTACGCCGGCCATTCCGCCCATGCCTCGCATCGGTCTGCTCATCCCACGACCGCCCATACCTCTCCTTTCTTGTCTCTTCAGAGGCTGAAAAGTCGGACACAAGGACTTTAAGGAGCACCAAAATTTCACATTACTCTGATGTCAACGGATGAAATAAGAACTGTATATTTACTAGAAACCCAAAGTCAAAAAATCCACAAAAGATTTCAGACATTAGATCATAAACTACACACTTGAAAGTTCTGTGTAATCAAAGACCATTTCTGTTCTTCACACTATCCCCGCAACCTCTAAAACGTTGTTGGTTTGTAGAGCAACCTGCTCAAAGCTCTCCCTAAGCAAAACAATTACCTTATATAACAGGGTGAACCAACAAGGCAATGATTCGTCAGTAGTCGGATGGGAGTGGCTAAGCCATCAACAGCGATGGAGCCAGAAACGTGACTACAACAAGAAAACTTCAACTTTGCCCCCAAAAGGAATGCCCAGCGGCCTGGTAGAATAATTTATTCATAATTTACAGCTTGGCGTCACAAAACATGATCTTTAGATGAATTGGAGAAATCTGAGGAGCCTCACAGAACACGCTGTTTGCACATCGCTTGGATGATTGGAAGTGGTGGTGAAATTCCAGATTTCTTCTAAATCCACCTTGTCGATTTCCCAAGGATGGTTAAAAGAGCGCTCTCCCCCACTGACAGAAGAAGTGCCAAAATAGGTTTTATTATACCGAAAATTCAATCATAACATTTTCATACCTGCTTATGAAATTTTAGAAAGATAAGACTGCAGTGGCTACTGTGAGCTTTTGATTCCGAATATTTGCTAATTATCGTTCTGAGAACAATTCCAAAAAAGTAAACAAAAAAGAACCTTGCCATCAGGACCGAGTGCCATACCAGCGGAGCCCATATTTTTTGCTTTAGACAAACGTTACCTGAATCTAACAGCTTCATGATTTCCATAAAACTGCGTTCCAAGAAATTGTTGCGATCTAAAGCTATAAAATTTGGGACCATCGAAAATTTAGGAACCAGGACTCAAAAGCTTGCAAATTTTTTGCTTCCTTTTCACGTATATTTATTTTTGTGAGCGAATTTATAGGAAGAGATTAGAAACGGATGGATGAAAGAGATAATAAAGAAGAAAGGCAACTGCGAGAGTACATCCACTGGCATCCCAAGAGAACGGCCAAGTGAGCAAAGGGCACTGCGAAGCGCGATCGATAACGGGGACGGCGTTAGCGCATCGCGGTGGGACCCACCTGTCTCTCGGTCGGGCTCAACTCGTCTCCTCTTGCTCATCGTTTCGCAGACCGTTTCCTGCCAGATGGGGCTTTAACTTAAATGTTTGCCCATGGGGATAACAGCTTACTAGCCATCAACATATAGAGATCAACATGAGGTAGTAGCTTTCACTTTAACTGCCAAAATCAAAGTCCATTTCAAAGGTTTTAGAGGATCAGCAAGGCCAACCTCTACACCAAGCTCTTGGGCTAAAAATTCTTTGAAATGATTCAACTCTCACCGAAGGGACGAGCGCTTGACTACGAGACTTGCTAGGAAATGTATCCAGGAAATTTTGTGTACTTTTTTCTTAACTATTCGATTTTGTCTTCAGTTTAGCATGAACTTTCAATAAAACCATAAAAATGAAGAAAGAATCCTTTTTGCTCAGCTCATACCAGTCAGCTTTGGACTAGAGGAGTACTGAGCTTGGGCGGAGAACTGCGCAATAGTGGAAAGAAATCATTTATGAAGACGTGAAACTGATTTCTTATTCTAAAATAACATGAAAATCTAATAAAGCCACTCCATGGAAGAGTGGTCTCCTCTACTTTCTAAACACATACATATTGTACATATACACACAGCATTTGCAAACGGCTGCCAATGGTACTGCACACAGTGGGCGCATTTATAGTACCTGCGTCTTCACGCCGACGTTGGCGGCGATCGTCAATCGATACCTTATCGGTTAGCACTAATGCTGCAAGGTGCGGGCTTGTAGCAAACGGATAAAAAGGGTCATTAGCGGGTGCTAAGTGGGTTGGGGGGGGGGACCACGCGGCTCGGCTGCGACGCGGTACCCTGCGCTCTACAGTGATATACGTGATTCAGAACAAACAATATGCTTGCATATTATGGATACACTTCTTCTGAGCCGATAAAACCTATTTTTTAAGCAGGGGAGGGGCTCC